TAACTTACACCGTCTCTGGCGTAGGCGTGACATCCGGCTGTCAACCAAGGGACGTGTATACTGCTCATCAGTTCGCTCCGTCCTTCTCTATGGCGGTGAGACGTGGCCATTGAGAGCGGAAGACATGAAGAGATTGTCTGTTTTTGACCACAGATGTTTACGATCTCTTTCTCACATTAGGTGGTATAATAAGGTAAGTAATGTTGACGTTAGGCGTAGAGTGTTGGGCAAAGAGGGAAAATCACTCGATGAGGCTATAAAGTTACATAGATTGAGATGGTTAGGCCACGTGCTGCGCATGCCTAACCATCACCTCCCCCTCCCGACGGGCATTACTAGCTGATATAGGTGCAGGTTGGAAAAGAGTAAGTGGTGTTATGCCAAACAAAAACATGGCCTCATCAATCCATGAAATGCTTTACAGTTAAACTGAGTCAGGTAGGGAGATGCAGACTTCTGGATTGGGGCCCGCCCTCGGGACTCTAAGAATCAATGGCTGGAGACAATAGGTGACATGGCTCAAAATCGTTGTCAATGGCTTACGCAGATGTATTCAGTCTCTTTAACCTTCATACTCCTTTCTACCATTACTCATTCTGTTTCACTCTTATACTTGTCAAAACTCTATTGATTCTCTTCACTCATTTTCTTGTCTACCTTTGTGTGCTATTTGGAACGTGGCAACTGGAACTGCTGGACTTCGGTGCCAAGTTCTATGTTGAATCCAGACAGACAATCACTCTAGCATTACTTAATCGGTTCATTTGTTTTTACTAGCCTTTATCGACTACTATTTCTACCTGAACAGTTGTTTGTTTAATCATGCAGTTTTTCATCAGTATTCGTGTTATCACAGATTGCCTCACTTTTTCATCCTTATTATTGATAAGACCATTTTTATTATTACTATTATTATTATTATCATTACTACTATTATGACTAATTGCACAATTTATATTCACCATCGTATTATCTTATAGACAAAACACCATGATTGGTTTATATTTGAATTTTATTTGTAAACTTACATATATATTAGGGTTAAGCCTGATGAGATCTAATTGAAAACAATATTGTTCGCTTAAATGTATCGTTCTAAATTTTACTATGGGAATATTTAACATGTTGAAATATAATTTTATAATACTGTTAATAGTGAAAGCACAGAGAACTGAAGGTTGACAGAAACAATGAATCATAAATAGATAAACAACAGGCATAGATAATACATGGAATAATAATAATAATAGTAATAATAATCTTTGCTTATGCTCAGCAGTTCACTTACTCATTTGAAAAGTGTCTACTCTCTTTTCTCACATCTGACTATCTCCTCACACAGAGAAAGCCGTGCTAAATATGTCGGTATGGTAGAATTTTTATGTGTAGTCGATGTACGAGCATAAATTCTAGTCATTATCAGCATCATGAAGTTTCTTCTGGTTTCACTATCCGAGGAGAGATACAAGCGCAGGGTTGCGAATGAATGAGTAGAGAGGAGAGATGGTTGGTGTAAGACAAGATAACTTCAGCCCATTAACAACTGCTTGCTTGCGAGAATTGAATTCAAGTGCTTATTGGCAATAATGTCTGTCAGTCAGTCAGTCACACCTCTGTTTACTGTCTCTGTCTATTATGCATTTCTCCTACTTTCTTCTGTTGCTTTGTGTGCTACAAGGAGGGAGTGTGGTGACTGGAATTGCCGCACATCAGTGCAAAGTTCGATGTCGAAAACCGACCGACCGAGTGGTTTGACACTGGATTCGAAGACCAGTTTGGTGGATAAAGGTGGGAGTCATTGTATGAAGGGACTTGTAGTAATTTTAAGAAACCCACACTAGGCTCTTACAGCTTAGCATTTCGATGTATTTTGAGATTGGGTGATTTGTGTTAATTTTTTCATGTCAGTATGGTTTGTATAAAAAGTTGGCTTTAATTAAAGGTTATATGTGCGTCGGTGGCATGGCGGTTAGGACGCTCACCGACCATGCACATGGTCCGAGGTTCGATCCCCGGCCGACGCACTCCTTTACCTCGCTAAGCCAGAAATAATGCTGGTGAAGAGGAAAGGTTGGGCATGAGGCTAGCAACCCCATCGTGTAAAAATAAACCCCACTGCTACAGAAACTTCAAGCCACTAGCTTGAAGCCCTATGTTCCACTGGGGAACCTAAAGGATAAAAAAACGATTATATAGCAATAACAATAATATTAATAATAATCTGCTTGATTCCAAAAGCAGTACTTATAATAAAGAATGGAATTCTCAGCGTCGGTGGCACAGTGATTATGACTCTCGCCGATCATGCACTTGTTCATGGGGTTGGACCCCCTGACGACGCACACCTGGTATCTATCTATGGTCGGCCTGCAAAATTTGGGCTACTGATTCCATAGCTATACCAAAAATACAGTGTGGAATCAAGCTGTAATAAAAAAAATTTGTCACAATATAGTATATGATTTCCTCTAAATATATTAAAGAAATTAACCACAGGAATTTGTCCAAATTTGCAATAAGAATAAAGTCAAAAATGTGCAGAGTACAAAATGAGGATAATAACTATTGTGGTGAGAGCTGTCTACTAGCCAAATTGGTTGACAGTAATTGACGTCAATGTTTACGTTCTCAAGATTGATCGTAAGAAAATATGAACAATACTGATTCAAAACCGACCACAGCAGACTTTGCGTAGGCGGATACAGTTAACATATAGATGATCTGTTGCCTGGCCCTTGTCTTCTGTTGTTACACTATAATAATAATGTTAGTAATGCTAGTTATAACGGCGGGTTTGTTTCAAACAATATTGTTGATAGAATATTTAATCTACTGTTCTCTTGAAATAGCATGCTTGGTGGGGGGGGGTTGGGAACAAAAAATAACAACTAATTACAGAGGTTAAATGATGTTTACACTTATCAGAAAATAAACACACAAAAAGTGGGAGGACAATAAATATAAGAAGAAGAATATCATTAAAGCTTGTTGGAATAAGGATGGAGAAAATTGTTCGTGCACGACACTAATTTCATCGCATAAAATACGTGCCACCAAATATGGTATCGTGGAATTATTTCTATACTTAGAAGACGTGTGCGCATAAAGTCTTTTTTTGAAATGACTTCTTGTTCTACCTGAGGAGATGCAAGGTGAAACCTGCGGTGGATGCTCACAATCTGAGGAAACCCCATTTTAGCAAATTTATTGCATGAAACCAAGTGCGCTTATCAATCAATGACAATGTCAACGATAATTCCCTCTATGGGCTACCACCTCTTGCCAACTGTCTGACAGTCTTTAGTGTTGTTCTACGAAGTATGACATAGTATTTTTTGAGCAAGCCAAGAAAGAATAAGCAGGGGTGAACAGTAAAGTGGAATAGCGGAGATGCTCAAGAGTTGACAAACTATGAGAGGAGGAGTGTTTGAGTTATGCCCGAGTGCCTTAACTTCTTAATGGAAAAAAAGTCAGACAAAAAATATTCTTTTAGATATCGCTAATACATGGGAAGACCAGGATCGGTCAGAAGAAAGAATTAATCCAGGGTACCTAAGTTATATATGTCCAAACCAAGTTCACTTTTAACAGTTTGGGAAAATTTGGGCATTGGGTATATGATATTCATTATAATAAAGGTTTTTGTATTTCCCAATGAATGAAAAACAAAACGAGATTGCTGTTTTTACTGACGTTTCGCTATTTAATGCTGCTGCTAATAGCTTTATCAAAGTATCATTAAACCGGAATTTACAAACTCCACTCAGTATATATATAACAAAGAGTTAAGGGGTGAGGAAACAGACTTGGCTTAGGTCAAGTTAAAAGTAGGACATAGTGATTGTGAAAATAACATTGAAGATCACTAAACCAAATAACAAAGGTAATAGTATGTCTGTTATGATATCAAAATAAAGTTTACCAACTTGATTATCGTTCGTCAACCCGGGGTCATCTTTCGTTGTCAAGTTGGTCAATTGGTAAAGATAACAAAATCAAGTGTAGATTGTTGGATTTGATCAGTGTGTAAAAATGATAAAAGCAGTGTGTGTTTACATAGTGAACTTGCTTATCACATTCGTGTTGATTTTGTCACTTCATGGGGGAGCGGCGGGGTGTTGTAACCAGGTCAGATTCTGTTTTAGTCCATCATTCCTATTCAGTTCAGACAATTTGGATTCCACTTGATGATGTGAAGTGCTTCTGATATTAGACGTTCTTTGTGATTTCTGAAGTTTTTCTGGATTATTTCAATGATTTCAACACCGATCAAATCCAACAGTCATCTACACTTGATTTTGTTATCTTTACCAATTGACCAACTTGACAACGAAAAATGACCCCAGACAGACGGACGATGATCAAGTTAGTAAACTTTATTTTGATATTATAACAGACGCACTATTACCTTTGTTATTTGGTTTAGTGATCTTCATTGCTATTTTTACTTTCAATATGTCCTTTTAACTTGACCTAAGTCTATTTTCTCACCCCCCTAACTGTTTGTTATATATATGCTGAGATTTTGTAAATTCCGGTTTAATAATACTGCTTTGATAAAGCTATTAGCATTAAATAGCGAAACGTCAGTAAAAACAACAATATCGTTTTGTTTTTCATTCATTGGGAAATACAAAAACCTTTATTATAATTAACAGGGTACCTAATGTCTGACTTGATTGCTATATCATCACTATCATCAATTTTGTAACGGTCATATGAATGAACACGGCTTCGTCATTTAACTTTCTTTTACTCACATCAGAAACTGAAGTTAACAGTCTGACATTTGTAAGCACTTAAATTTTAAGACCATTTGCTGACTACTGATAGAAAGGCTATTCATCTTAGTACAGGGTGAACAATAAAGGAGAATAGGCAAGATGCTCTAGAGTTAACAAACTGTAAGAGCGGGAGGAGGAGAAGGAGTGGTTGAGTTATACCCGACAGCATTATGCTGATTAACAGTGGTGGTTATTTCATTTTTTTTTAATTTTCAGGTTGGCTTTTCAAACTCCAACTGTCAGATGTATCTCAGCTGAAGAATCTCCTATCTGAAGAAAACTATAACAAATTTTTAACTTCAGAGTCGTGATATTTTTTTCTTCTTCGGATATTCAACAGTTCCCTTTTTTTCTGTTCTTGTTTTGAATCTCTCTCTCTCCTTAAAACAAAAACAAATATTCGCTCCATTACTTTTCAAAACATAGGTAGAATTATTTAGTGTATGTTTGTTTAAGGCTTTAGAATTTCTTTTTTTTTAATGTGTTGTTGTACGAGTGCCAACTATTTTTTTCTTAGTTATCTGTACAAAGTACTTAGATACGATTTTTGATTGAATAGACATGTTTTCTCGTTTTCTATATATGGTGTTGCTAAATGTGTACGGGAAGAGATGCATCCTCGAAGAGCCTTTTTGACTTGATATTAGGGCTGCCTTCGATTCGTTGGACAGAACTGTGCTCTGGAACTGTCTCTGTTAGAGAGGGGTGTACCTGAGAAGTTTTTTAACATCTTGAAAGCCCTATACAGAAACACCTCAGGTAGAGTGAGGGCATACAACCAACTATCACCACTGTTCCCAACCAACAGTGGGGTTAGACAGGGTTGCCCGATCTCTCCATTTCTCTTTAACTTTGCCATCGATGACATTCTGGAGTCAGCTCTGAAGGATGTGCGTGAAGGTGGTGTAGATCTGCTACCTGGAGATAGACTTTTCGACCTCGAGTATGCAGACGATATCGTCTTACTGTGCGATAGCATGCAGGCTGCCCAAATCGCACTTAATCAGTTGGCGATCAGTGTCTGTAAGTATGGTATGTGCTTTGCACCGTCTAAGTGCAAAGTACTGTTACAAGATTGGCAGGAGCCTGTACCTGCACTCACTCTTGCGGGTGAACCGCTTGAAGTTGTCGATAAGTTTGTGTACCTAGGTAGTTGTGTGAGTGCTGGCGGAGGGGTGACGGATGAGATTTCCAACCGTATAATGAAAGCTAGGGTGGCATACATCAACTTGAGCCACCTCTGGCGCCGTCGCGACGTTAGCCTGGCTGTCAAAGGTCGGGTATACAATGCTTCGGTGCGGGCTGCGCTGCTCTACGCCTGTGAAACCTGGCCTCTCCGAGCTGAGGATGTGAGGCGACTCTGCGTGTTCGATCCCCACTGTCTCCACAGGATTGCTTGCGTTCGATGACATCATCGCGTGAGTAATTCTGGGGTTGGGCGGCGCCTGTTTAAACACAGTGGAGATTAACATTTGTTGAGTGTCGTCATCTGGAAACACCAGCTCCGGTGACTTGGACATGTGCTACGAATGTCATCGCAGAGGCTTCCGTACAGGTCTCTGTTCGCTGGCCAGCCCTGGGACGGGATGGAAAAGGCGGAGGGGTGGTCAGTCCATGACGTGGCGTCGTGGGATGAAGGATATTTGTGCTAGGTTAGCATCGGTTGGTGTGTCACGACTCCCTGGTTGGGGTCTGCGAGATAGCTCGAATCGATGGCTCGAAAGGTTATCGGATATGGCCAAGAATCGTAACCAATGACGAACGTGTTGCAATTTCCTTCTTTCTTCCCTTCCTGATGATAGTTAACGAATACTGTTTGAACTTGTTAAACATGACTGTTTTCCTTCTTGATGAAGTTCTTTATCCGTTTTCTACATATATATTTTTACTTTTAATCTATGTTGTTTTATTATTATTGTGTGGCGCATCTTTCTTGGTGCCATATTGTACCAAGTTTTTCTGCGTTTAAATGAATAATTTTTGACTCGGTCGTCTTTTGTGTTTTTGCATAGGCATTATAACCATTATATGTGTACGGCCAGTGGTGCAATCGGTGGAGTTACTAGTGAGTTAGTTAGTTATTCGGGATATCTTGTCTAGGCTTGTATGAAAGAAGGATTGTTTCTACTGAGGTTCGAGTCCGTGACGGTGACATGCTGAAGTAGGTATTCGCGCTGGCGAGTGAATTTCTGTTTTGGATACTTCCATTGAACAGCAACTAGCGTAGTGCAGCCAATATCACTGAAGTATTTCATGAACACTCTCAATGCACTGAGGCTGAGGTTAGTTTTCTTGTTTCCGAAGATTTCGATGTAGCGATGTGCCGTGTTAATGCATAGATGCGCTGTCGCTAACTAATCTCAGCATTCCAGGGATGCATTGAATCGTCTCGTGTTAGTTATCTGTTGTACAATTCAATAGTTTATGATAATTTCGCTAGGTTGACTCATTCGGACACACACACACAGGGGACAACATACAAGGTAGTTCAGCGAAGAGTCTCTTTTCGGCGGCGAATTCATTCTCATAGCTGTACAATCGCAAATATATATGGTTGTTCTTTATGTGTGTGTACATTAAATTTGTCAAACGAAAATACAATTAGTAAGTTCAGGTGAATTAAGTGTTGATACAAGAGCGTAGTAACAAAAGTGATGACTTGTCACAAACGATTGTTAAAGAAGAGTTAAGTCAAATCAAACAAAGGAAAGTTAAGTCAAATCAACACAGTTGTTACCATGGGAGTAGAAGTGGTTGAATAATTTTCTTTTGTATGCACAGTTCTGGTTCCTCTAGCCTAATGGCTAGGGCTTCTGCGATGCAAAGAAGACGGAATCGTACTGTCTTTGGAAGGTTGTTCTTCACTTTGTAGATTACTTTGAAGCAGGAGGCGTTTGTTGAGATGGAATGACCAGTGTTGACGAGGTGTTCTATTATTGCACTCCTTATGCAGCCATTACTTCCTTTCTGTAGCCATGCTGGATAGTGTTCTTTGACCCTTTTTGACAGGATACGCGTTGAACGACCGATGTACCTGGCTGGCTCCACAGCAACAGGTGAACTGATATATACACATAGAAGTAGTGGTCAGGTGCGGGATCTTGTCTTTTGGGCTTCTGCAGATCAGCGGGCGACTAGAGAAGACTACTCTCAATGTTGCCGCAAAGAAAGTTCTTCTTAAAGAGGTGGAGATTCTCCTTCTAAGGACGTCAGTGAGTAGGTCTCCCTTGAAGTCGAGGTTCATATAAAGTATCTTTTTTGGCACAGATGCTGTTTCTTGCTTTTGGATTTTTTGTTTGATGTTTTTGTCCACGAATCTTGATGAGTAACCGTTTTGTATGAAGGTTTCTTTGAGGAAGTTTAGTTCTTCTTCCATGGTATCAGAGCTGCAGATGCGTCGGACTACTACCCTCTTATATCAACACTTAATTCACCTGAACTCAATAATTGTAATTTCGTTTTATTACGTAACTCTCTTCTTTAACAATCGTTTGTGACAACTCATCACTTTTGTACACTACCCTCTTATATCAACATCCAATTCATCTGAACTTACTAATTGTATTTTCGTTTGACAAATTTAATGTACACACACATACAAAACAACCATAAACTATATTTGCGATTGTACAGCTATGAAAATGAATTCGCTGTCGAAAAGAGACTCTTCGCTGAACTACTTGTCTTCTGTCTATTAATGTTCGAATGGGAATTTTTCATGAACATACAAGTTGTTTTATTACAAATTCTCCTTCAGTTCATCACAGTTGTGTTGACAGTTGAGTATACTTCGTTTGAGTGTGTGATGTCTACAGTTGGTCGACTTCATATTTCATCAACTTCACACTTCAGCAGATTACTTGCACCTATTACTTATCAGTTCCTCGAGACAACTGTTGATACTGGACGACCACGAGATGGTCGGTAGTCACATTTCATTTAGGTGAAGAGGTTGGCCTAGTGTAACATATCTACAACACAATCAGTCCCTCACAGAAACCATCGATGCTTAGCGAACTCATAGAGTTCAGTAAGATGGTTGCGGTATTCGCCACCTTCAGAATCCAATCAGCTCAGTGGTATTTCACACTTAAGAAACAGATGGCGTAGACGAAAATCCAAGCAGTTTGGAGGAACGCACCCAGAGCAGGTATCTTTGTGTTCAGGTGGTGTAGGTGTTGGCATTCACGAGTCACTGTACACACATGAATAGTACACTGATGAGTTACACTGATTAAACAGATGCTCTTCGGTGAAATAAAGCCCTACAAATTTTATTTCATCTCGCTGAGTGTTGCTACTGGTCTACAAATCATACTAATCGATAGTCATCATGAGAAAGGAAGGCCTCAATTTTGATATTTCACACAATATGACCAAACTGTACAATAATGACCACAGTCTTATAATCAATTATGCGTCTGTCTGTCTGCACGTGTGTGTGTGTTTGTACGTTGTTCTAATCGTCTCATGTCATTTCGTTAACGATTGGGTCATTTGAATCAAGCAAAATTATTATATAATATATATTATTGTTCCCTTCGGTTCCTAGTGGAACATAGGGCTTCAACTGCACGCCTCCACTTGCTTCTGTCTTCTGCTGTACTTTTCACTTGCATCCATGTTAATCCATACTGTTTCAACTCTTCTTCACACGATCTCCTCCATGTCACCCTTGGACGTCTCACTACTCGCCGCTTCCCTTTCGGGTTCCACTCGATCGATGGCCTGACACGAGATGTCACCAGCAGCGGCCTCCTCAGCGAGTGTCCAATCCATCTCCACTTTCTCCTGCATATATGTTGAGCAATTGGTTCTTGTTTTGTTTGTTTGTTCCCATAGTTTCTTGTTGGTGATTCTGGTTCTTTCTGGCCATCTGATCTTCAATATTGAGCGAAGACAGTTGTTGATAAAGGTCTGCAACAGGCTGTTGGAAATATTCTTTGTCACCCACCGCCAAGTTTCTGATCCGTATAAAAGAACTGACTGACTTGACGTTTGTATTGAAAATCCGAATCATTTTGTTGTTGAGTGTTGCTGAGTGACGAAGATTTCCAGATTGGTTTCAGGTTGATGAATGTGTTTCTCGCCTTTCCGATTCTCAATTTGGCATCCTTGTCGGTTCCTCCCGTAGTTGAGACAATGCTCCCTAGCTGGATAAGTGAATGTAGTAACCTCTTTCAAATCCCTCCCGTTGATGGTGATTGGCACTGGATGTTGCTGCTGTTGTTGTTGTTGGCTGGTTACTTTCATAACCTCCGTCTTGTCTATGTTCACCTGGAGTCCTGTCTTCTCTGGCTACTTCTTCGACCAGTTTGTCGGTTTTCGCTTGTAAGTCTTCCATTTTGTGTGACATCAAACATAAATCATCCACGCGCGAAATCCAGGTCTTCTAGGTTCAGGTCGGTCCAGGATATCCCTGTCTTCTCGTTTCCTAC